CAAGTTTAATAAAGATTTACATAGTCAAAACAAAAATATTGAAAAAAAATGAAGAGATTACCATAAAAACGCGTCTCAAACACTGAAATTCATTTTTCCCCATATAAAAATATAGCAGAATGATTTGTTTTTGCATAATAAGCCTCGATCTCGTGCAGTATGAAGGCGCGGTCACTAAGTTTCGCAATTGGTCTATAGAGCTAAAAAGAATATATAACTACACGGCAGAAGTGCCGATCAGATTGAATAAAAATGATGACATACCTTGGTAGACCTTCCATGGAAATCATACATTTCCTTCATCTTCACAACACCACGGTCAGCAATGGTGATATTTTGACATTTCTGTAATATACCATCGACGTCAACAGTTACCCCGGCAACTAGCAGCTCACCTTGCATAGTGGCAACACCTCCCTGGTAGATCACCATATTGAATGGCAGATAGGATTCCAAAGAGAGAAAAGATTGATTGTAACCGATGAAGAAAGAACCAGTACGATCACCTTGCATTCTGGTTATAGTTATAGATAATAGATGTCTCGGCTTTTGAGGGATGATAAATAGTACTTGTGCTCCACCGTAGATTTGTAATTCACTCAACTTAATGTTGTCATCTTCAGGATCAAGGGTCAACCACGTGCGCGCGGATGCCTTTTGTGTGAAATCATCAAAACTAGAACTCAGGTTTCTGTCTGTGTAACGCGGCAGTCGACCATAAGCGTTGATATATAGTGTTCTATTCTGGATATCAAATTCTGTTTCATTCCTGTATACATTACGGTGCGCCAAAACCTCGATATTGTGAGTAGCGTTTTGAGTGATCCGTTCTAAGTACACAGTTCCAGTTCCTCCCGGTTCAATATTGCTTTCTCCGCCAAGAGCCTGGTACTGACCTATGTAATTATTAGCAGCTGTGTAAATACTGATCCTTCCACCTGCACCACCCCCACTATATGCTTTGTCCCCATCTCCCCCGGAAACGTCAAGTAAACCTTGCCCATGAAGATGTTTACCATACACCAAAATGCTACCGCCACTCGCACCACTCCCTCGCGGGGAGATAGCGGAACCACCTCTTGCAGAAATTGTACCATCAATGTAAGCTGTATTTTGAGCAACTAGTTCCAGGACTCCTCCACCATAGCCGGGTACACGAGGAAAAACAGGAGCGGCACCAGGTCGGCCAGATGTTCGTGGTGTTCGGAACGAACCGTATGAAATTCCAACTAAATTTTGACCTGAGCCAACACCACCATGACCACCATGACCAGCACCACTACTTCCTGAAGTGTGAGACTTACCATCTCCTACATGAAGTGTGGAGGGCATAATCTGGTTGCCCGCTGACAACGTGGAATAAGGCTCCAAGGTGATGTTTGTGAAATCCAGTTTTAGTTTATTTACGTCAAGCTGAAAAGAAGAAAAAAATGTTTCTTGTTCTGAAAATCAGGTAATCTAGTAAAATATACACATCAATGGACCTCAAATATAAAGCAAAATTTGCCACAAATATACTGGTGGGCGCTGGTAAGGTTTGTTCCACCAAATAAGAAAATAGCTTGATGGTCCATCTTTTTTTACACACGTCTAAACCTCATGGAAACAAAAAATGCTCGAAACTCGTTTTCAACAATCTAATCAACAAGTTCTAAAAATTTGCTATTGTCACAACCTATCAACAAACTGGGAACATGAAGTTTGAACACATCTTCACGTCAGTTTGTTAGAACACTCTTGTACGAAATTTTGCTGCCCATGCAATGCTGTAAAACTATGCATTTCGACTTGTCCAACACTCTTTTATCCTATATAATTTTCTAATATACACCTACCCTAGCGCCACCACGAATATCCAAAGATACCCCCTGCACCACAACCTCGTCATGTCTTGCCATTAATTTCATTCGACCCTCAGTCTGAACCACCAATTTAGTCATAGTTAAATTTAGTTTCTCGCTCTCACTCTCCAGAGAAAACAAACACTGCGGGCCAACTGTGACTTTCTCCAGGGCATTTACAGCGCCTCGGACCACAACCTTCACTGAGTGACAATTGAAGTCTTTAGGTAGATTTAATGTGGAGTCGACATGAGCTAAGAGTTCTGTCTTGAAATAGCTTGTAGTATGGGTTACTGAAAGTTGTTGTGTAGATCGAACATTTATTGATCCTGTTCCATCCCCATCCAACTCGTCTATTCCAACATGCACTCCTTCACCTGACCAGCTCAAGCGACCTCCGTGACGTAAGATCATCTTGAAAACAGATCAGAAATGTTTAGTGATTAGTTCGGAGAAAAAGCAGAGAGAAATGTACCCTGCGCACAGATTGTGTTTCACTTGTGATGCATCATAAATTTGTTAAAGACGTTCCCTTGACTGATTACTTTTATTTATTACAAGAGCTTTCGACCACCTCAATATGGTCTTCAACAGGTGCAAATGAAGCAAAGTTGATAATTAAGAACTTATGTTACAGAAAGTATATTAGTATAGCTATAAGACATACTTTTCGTGCCATAAAATCCGCTGTTTTATCAACTTTGCCTCACTAATATACCTGTTGAAGACTACGGTGAGGTTGTCAAATGCTTGTCTAATAATTTATTAAATGATTGGCTATGCTCAACCATTAACAAACTTTGGACCGGGATGTTTATAATTGAAACTATATTTTCTTGACACTCTGCGTTCATTAGAAGTTTCAGCCTTGCACATGCTTAGGATTCATTATATTTTATTATTTCGCTCAAAAATGTTCGTACTGATCTGCTTAATATCATATTAAGGCTTATTGAACACACGACAAACAACGAGAACTATAGTTAAAGCAACGGCAACTAGATGACTATTTCTGCTTGATTTACCTTACCTACAGACGAAATTCAAAGGTGAAACTATGTTGACTATAAGCATAACCAATCAGAATTTACTAAGTTCAAAATAACCAATCAGAATCCACTACTCAGACTTGGGTAGCGTTAATGTGGAGTTTGAAATGCTTTCACGCGAGTTTCCACACACTGTACTGCAATCAAGATACAGGGTGTGTACAGATTAGGCAAGATAACAAGATTCTAACCAGAATTTACAATCAAAGCTAAATAACATCCTCTACCTTGTCGAACTTTAAGAATTCTTTTTCAGTTTTGTTTTCATCTTCATTTACAATCCAGGCTTCAGGTGTTTGAATCACAGCCTGCGATGTTCTGGGGAACACTTCTTGAATAAATAACTGCACCTCGTTCATAGCCGCGTAAGTGGAAACTTTCGAAAGCGATATTACGATCTAAAAGAAAAAGAATCTCACTATATTTCTGTCGCTTCCATCTTAGGATGAACCGTCGCTGATAAAAGCATGTCTATTCTAACGTGAAAATAGCACCTTGACAGCTTGACATTTTAGTCCAGCCTATCAGAGTGAGGCTAGTCACATGCGGACGTTGGCTGAGCAGATTAAAACCTGTCAAATGCTCTTGTCAAACATGGAAGTTTTACAAGAGAATGGACAACGTCTTTCATTTGCACTGACTGTTCATCCTCAACGCCACTAGGCGAATTTGTTCGCGCGACGCGAAAAACAAATTTTGGTAATGTGATTGGTCAGCGAAAAAAATCGCCGCGAAAAAGTTAGATCAGTTCCTACTTTTTTACTGTTCACGCGAACAAATTTGCCTGGTGGAAAATGGGCTTTAGTTGCAAATGGCGATATAGTCGTAATGGCGAAACAATGACTCTATATGTATATTACTAGACTGCCAGTGAAATACATTCATTTCTCTCACCTTATTAACTTCTTTCTGTATTTCGACTTTGCCATATTGACCCTGACTACATAACTCAGTTTCAGTCCACAATCCCTGCTCGAATACCTTATTAGAACCCAGGTAGGCACGGACTCGATAATTTGTCCAATATCCCGAACTGCATTGTGGGAAAATCCTTAAATGATCCATGGTTATCGGATATGGGAAAGTATAGGTCAATTCAGGTTTCGAAGATGTACTGTAGTAAAAGTGATTTGTCCCGGAGAATACATAAGACAGCTGCCCATTTCCCGCGAGACATTGTGATAGCCAAACTCTTAGACAATGTGGTGGACCACTTGTACGGAGATTAATACCCCCGGGTGATGTATACGATGTGACATAATAACGATAATTTCTTGTATCAGTGATAAACAACTGTCGCACTTCAATGATGTTAGATGATGCAGTGGTGTGACCGTTATCTATGATGAGTTGTCTTTGAGTTGTATTACCACTGTCATTTTGAATGTACACTGTTCCAGGACCTTGGAAAAGTAATCGTATTTAAAATTTAATTTCTAACCTCGATCTCTTAAGGCAAAAATCATCAAGGATTTTTCTATGTAGTTGAATACGAACATGGGAATTCTTAAAATATATATTTCAGTATTAACCGTCAAAGCAAAACAATAGAGAAAGAAGTAGGTTCCTTGTTGCCCTGAAAGGCGACAAATAACCATCTTATTTTGCTATCAAACCAAACGCCAGAGTCATCGCCAAATTATTTGCAATGATGAAGATCCGGGCTTACGAAATATATGTATATCAATAAACGTGCAGTTTTGACTAATGAAAACAAAGGGAATTTAAATTACCTCCTCTCTCAGCTATACTTTCCCCACCATACGTTTGGAGACTTCCAATAAAAGTATTTATCCCAGAATGATATACAGCTATCCTGCCTCCCCCACCTCCGCCACCCTGGGTACCACTCACAGTCCTAGTGGCACCATCCCCACCACTTGCTTCTACTGTTCCCATGCCATCAAAATGACTGGTACGTATCAGGACTGTGCCTCCACCACCACCTGCGATAGCGAGAATTATAATAAGGCAAATTGTTATATAGCTATGGTGAACACCAAACGTGATTGGCTGATTTGTGGTCACGTGACTTCGGATAAATGCAATGTATCCCGCCGGGGAACAAGTGAAAAATTGTTGCACGCCCCGACCGGCTACGTAAATAAATAAACAAAATGGCGGCACAACTAGCATAATTACAAACTACGATTTTCCAAGTTTGTGTTCAAATAAAGAATGTAAAAGAGAAGAAAAATACACAACAGGCAACAGGATATGCTGCTGAAACCGTTTAAGTAGGTTCTTTTAATTCTAAACTCGTTTGCACTATAGAGTTTTTGTCACGAAATACAATTACCTATGAATGTTGTTGAATGTTGATTTTTGTTCGTCGCTATATAACAAAACGCTTAATGTCTGTTCCCTCGGGAAATACTTAGTTTTGTTTTTCCTCGAATCTCTCGGGAAAACAAAACAAACTATTTCCCTCGGGAGCAGACATTACAGTCAAACCGGATGTTCTCTTGCAAGCAACATTGCAATATTGTCCCACAATATTGCAATTTTGATACGCAGATTGCTCTGAGCAATTTGCAACCGAAGCGAACAAATTGCAAGTTGAAATTCACAAAAGATTTGTAAACAAAGCCTCTAATTGGACTATAAGAAAGAGGGAAGCACCAATCCAGTTGCTCAGACTAGTTGATTGACTTCCCTCTTTCTTACAATCCAATCAGAGGCTTTGTTCACAAATCTTTTGTGAATTTCCAACTTTCAATTTGTTCGCGTCGGTTACAATTTGCTCAGAGCAATCTGCCTATCAAAATTGCAATATTGTGGTACAATATATATTGCAATGTTGCTCGCAAGAGAACATCCGGTTTGACTGCAAGTGTATAATATTCCAATATGATATCCAACGTCGATTAATAATTAATGGACAAAACACAGAAAAATTCAGTGCCGCATCGTTGTCTAGAGACCAAAATAATAAACATCCATACAAAATTACCTTTAAATTAATTAAACAGAATTTCTTCTGTAATTTCAAAAGTTATATGATACACTGGAAGTCGTTCATTACTGTGACATTAAAACACCTCGAATGAATTAAGAAACTTCGAAACTAATGAATTAACAGTTTCGAAATCTCTATCATTGATTCGCCGTGTATTTTGTATTAGGTAAAAAGCACGTAGAACATCACAGAACAGCACGTAGAAAATTTTTTCAGGCTTTTACACCTTTATCAATACTCACCCCCAGTATTCTTCTCCAGCCCATTTGCGCGGACATTTCCTTCGATTCTGAACAGATCACTGACATTGATATATATGATTCCTCCTCCAGGGGATCCGCCTCCACCACTTCCCGCCTCAATAGGTGTGTAGATGGAGTCATAAGCCAATGGCGATTGTAGTTGATACAATTCTCGACCACCGTTACCACCATGTCCTCCACCAGCGCCTGGGCGCGAACCATTTCTATACGAGGGACCTTTCCCAACGGGGTAACCCAGCCCACTGGAAGTTATTTCACCTGAAAAATATATCTTCATTTCAAAGTACAACGAAACAAATTAACCTGAATGGATAAAACTGAACATTGGTCAAATGAACATTGGTGGACCTTGGTGAATACAAACATACAATGTTAGATATAATGGCTATATTTGAATAGAAATTAACATTGATGAACATTCATTTATGTATATCATTGGAAAATGGTGTGTACGAGTGGATAAAATTGAGTATGAGTAAGTATTAAGAAACCGCGAATGTTACCACTAAATATTGGTGAAGATTAATCAACATCATTGCATTGGAGTTTTCATGTATAAAACAAAGCGTTAGTATATAAGAGAAAATATACTTCAGGACACCCTTAAGGTAATTTAATTTTAGTTCTTCCAAATGGTACAAACTTCACTTGATACAAATGAACATCAATGATTAAAATAAATATTCTTAGATGCTAACCTGCAGCATCAAAAGGAATATTAACCTCCATCAAATCGAAATTAAGCGCAGTTCCCATATGGTCGTAACGGTCGTAAAGACTTTAGTCACGATCTTTCTCATCAGCCGTTTTAGAACTGAAAATACGCGAGTTTATAGTTTATAGTAATACGAGTGATTATAACTAGAGAATACTTACGATTTATATGTGGTTTACAAGTACAGTATAAACTATTATAAACTGGCTGTTGAAAAGATCGAGACTCTATTCTAACCACGATTACGACCATTGGAAACTAGGCTTCAATGATTAGAGGAGTACATTTAATTCAATGACTACAGAAAATATTGATAATCACAGGTGAATTTACAGATGCAATTACAGATTCGAATTACGAATTACAGGCGAATTACGGTTACAGGTGAACATTAATGATATATTCAAAATGAACCTCGCCAGATACTAACCTGCCGCATCAATTGTGATATTAACAGCAGTTAGATGAACATCATTGGATATAAATTTCCCACCAGCATTGATCACCATTCTGCTACATTGGACCGCCATCTTACCATGTCCTGCCAAGGTGGTGGCAAATAATCGACCACGAGCACGTATGCTGATATTCACGAATACAAATGTTCCTTCTGGTTCACCCTCACTATTCCCTCCTGACCATAAATGTAGCTGTCCATCCCTATCTACTACGTACTCTTCCGAGTCCGACACCGAACCATTCACGTACATCCAAACTTCACGTAACGAAACACGTTTAGGAAGAAATAATGAGCCACGAGGATACACAAACGTGTTCACGGGAAAGTATACATCAATATCGCGGAAATGAACTTTTTGCAATGCTCCAACGTGCAAGACTGCTGAACGATCTCCGGTTAATATGTTTGCTTGCAGGCTCACATGCTCACTCGAGGCGTTACCATAGATACCAAGATGTGAATTTCCTTGAAGGACAAGTTCGTTAAATGTGTAATTGTTTGATTCTGTAAGCCATGTCACTGTACCAACTTGACTGATCTCACTATATACCCCACTAAACAAGTTCAACAAGTTCCCCGCGTTCCTATCTACAGCCTTTGGTCGCGATAGTCCCTCGTTATCAACTATTAATTTTCGCGACATGATGTGTGTCCCATTCCCTTGTTCCAGATACACAGTCCCGGATGCTCCATCTTCGATACCAGTCCCTCCTCGGACAGAAAACGAACCATTGTAATTATGAATATCACGATAGTTTACAACAACCCGTCCGCCTGAACCTCCGCCTGCTTTACCCGTTGAGCCAGCTCCTCCACGTGCTTGAATCGATCCATAACCATCCAGCTCATCACATGTAATCCATACACTTCCCCCACTGCCACCTCCACAGCCACTTCGTTGACCACCAGTGGGCGCATTTTGACCATTGGCTGATATCTGACCATCAATAATAGTACGTTTCGAGTGTATCCTTAGAGATCCTCCACCTATCCCTCCCATTCCTCCAGTAGTGACTTGGTTTGATTGAGAACTACTACGCTGATAGTAGTAATTACCGTAATAAAGATTTCCTAGAAATGAAACATATCCATCACAATAGGACTGAAACTCTGTAGATCACACTGTCCATACGGGCGTAAATGGTTTGTCATACATAGTTATAAGTATCAGCCTTCACATTTCCCCACAAATATATCTATTAGGCTTTTCTTACAGTGGATTACATATTTGCATCTCAGAATGTATCAACGAGTTGGCATACCACTAGCTCAGGGTCTGTCATGTTGAATTAAAGACCTTGGGTTGGATTCTCGGTTGAACATCACAAATTGTTTGAATTATAACAAATACTAACCATAATCTTGACCAAATCCCCCAGGACTTCCAAAATGATGAGGAGTGTACAATGATCCATATGTTTGTCCTGCTAGAAGGGTTCCCACCCCGCGTCCACCGTTACCACCGTAGCCCCCTCCTGAACCGCCAGACACGTGTCCAGTCCCTTGACCGGGTCCTGTTCCAGTCGTGTAACCAGAATGATTCTGTTCCAAGATCCCGCCAGAGTTCACCGCCACTGTATCTGATGCATTGATTGTGAGGCGACCGTGTGATACGAAGTGCCCTCCACCATAAACCTGCAACGAGAAAATATTGCAGATTGTATTCATTGCGTGTTTTTTAAGTGATACATGAACCATGGGCAGACGGGTTGTATGGAATTTACATTTATAAACTATTCTAAAATATCAGTCGTTGCTTGAGCTGACGAAATCACAGGAAATAATGCAAACGAAATTGGTTTAGATTTAACCAAGAATATAAATCCACCATTACTTCGAAGATATATAGAAAACCTGTTCACTTATTCAGATTCAACATTACCCAACACAATTAAGGGAACACCACTTTCACTCCATGTGCATGTCTTTCAGGTAACTATAGTACAGTACCTGATTATCTGATAACAAACACTTCAACTCAAATGCGATATCATATTGCAAGCCTAACACCTTCTCCATATCTACTGCATGTAATACCTGTACTTTTCAATTCTTGTTAAAAGTGACAAATATTTGCTACTCACGCATACCTAATTTTAGTGTGCAGTGATAACCAATTTGTGCAGTGATAAAAGTAAAATGTGCAGTGATAAATTGAAAGAAAATGAGGCAATGAGCAGAAAAACTGAACTAAAAATTCGTCTTGACACTTCACAGTATTAATCAAAACATTTTGAATGAGAATAATTTGAAAATTATTTAACGTCCGCACTAATATTATACTTAATTAAGGTTCATCAAATGAACAAATTCTCTCACCAGAAATCTCTTTATATGAGCTTGGAAAATGGAGTGAATGATACTTAACCTTTTGTAATTTGTGTATGATCTTCAGAATTCTTTTCGATAGAATGTTCCCGCACATTGCAGGAAATGCCCTTTTAGAAAGCCTAGATTAGAAATCTGTGGGTATACGCCCCTGGAACTCGGTCCAGAGATTTGTCACGCCCAAGCCATCTTTCATTTGCCAAAGCGAAAATATTTCTTTTCTACAAGCATGTGATTGTGAAACTATGCTGTCATAGATAATCGTAACTGCAGGTTCTGTCAAGGCCGCCCAGAGTGGTGGAGGGGCAATTTACCCTGGGGCCCCAGTTAAAGGGGCCCAAATAAAGAATTACAGTGAGATATACATAAATATAACTGTCAATTCTAGATTTCCAGAATGCAGAATTTGGCCATTTCCGGGACCTGAGATTTCAAAATTTTCCCGGGGAGAATGCCCCCGCATCCCTCTAGTCATAGTTAGAAGATGGAATCACAAGCGGCCCCTACTCAAATTTTGCCCTAGGCCCCCAAATTAATTTCCCTAGGCGACCCTGGGTGCTGTGCAGTGTATGTTGGTTTTGACATTTTTGAATAAGGGCGTGCTTCTGCTCGGCTAAACTTTGCACAAAAATGTGCAGTGATAAAAAATTCTTAAAATTTGGTATGTACTCACGGTAAAGTTGACGAGGTTCAACTGCAGTTCTGGCATGTGTTCCGAGTCACCAAGTTTCACGAAACCTTCATCTTGAATATGTAGTAATTTTACGTTGTATTCTGATGAATTACATTGAGCACCTATACAGCTTGCCACTGTACACTCGAGACGACCTCCATGGAGTACATAGACTTCTTCCAAACCACTCAACTAAATATATGAAGCAAACGGAAATTAGAAAGGCCATAAAAACACTACAATACAATACGAAATTATAATGATATGCATACTATGAAATGTTTGTGGCACAAAGTCTTTCCTGTTTGACTCTATTAAATCTCAGGTTTTCTCCTGGTATTCCCGTTTCCTCTTGTCGTAACACAAGTCTAATATGCCCTTATGAACCTCTAGGATAAAGCTCAGAATTGATTGAGCTATCCAGAATATATTTGGACTTGATCCCTATTACATGCTAATTTGAAAATAGATGACCTACGTAAGAACCCACGGTTTATGACCCAAAGGAGAGTATAAAATAATATGTGGTATCTAGAACCCTTCTCAATATTCTTTCTTTGTCTGTCATATGCCGAACGATTTTAGCAATGCCGGGGAGAAACTTTTACGTGAAAGTGTCCGTATTGAAATTACCTTGCCAGAAAGGAACACGCTCACACTTTTGAGAAAACTCTTCCGAGGCAACGAAAGTTCACCATGTTCATACACTCGCAGGCTCAATGGCGTGTCAGGATCAGTGATATTGATGCCAAATCTCTGATTGTAGCCAATATGCCAAGTGCCTGATTTATCACCATACATTCTCTGATTATCAATCGAGATCTGTGCTCGGGAATTAGCAGGATTTTTGAAAGCAACATTGGCTGATCCTAGAAGATGGATCTCATCAAACTGATAATGAGAGGAGTTTAGAAGTAGCCAAGTTACTGCGCTATCCACATCAAGGTTTTCATAACTAACAACAGAAAATAAACGGCAAAATGTTTATACCATGTTCTAGGTGCATTCCACTTTCGGTCCTTGAAATTTCCACGAATACCCAACTACCTCTTGTAGATTAAGTGTCATAACTATTATAGTATTGTATAGAATATTTTTAATTTATTGTATATTTAATCACTGTATATGAAATTGGTTGCACTGCAATCTGGAAACAAATCCAACGTGAGCCCAAGTTGCGAGTTAAGACACGGATTGTAGCAGCACAAGCTGTCAAAATATTACATTACAAAAGAGTCTATTAATGATATCAGCTTGACTCGAGCTTATCGTATATTTCTTAAATATTGGACCATTACCTGAGCCCCGATCGCATACACCCGGCCAGCTACCCATGTTTTTCTAGGCTTTACTACCTACCGTTGCCAAGGTAAGGATGTTCCTTTGAATATTTCAATTTCTGTCAGACTAGTGTATTGATGTACGGCTGCAATCAGATCTATAAATATCCAAGTTGTGTTCTTCATAAAGCTAACATCAGTATATGAACCCTGCGTACAGCCATATGCCATGTTAACGTAATCACGATGAATCACGAATGTCCTGCCTGCTTCGTCCACACCGCTCAACTGAAATTAAAAATGATTAATAAACTTAGCGTATTTATTGTGGGAGACAATTTATGCCATTTGAGCTATTAAGGAGGGGATCTTTGAGCTATTGAGGATGATTCGGATCAATAGCTTTGAGCTATTGAGGATGAGGGGATCATTTGAGCTATTGAGGATCTGAAAGCATGAATAACTAGAAAATTGAGATCTCAAAGGTTTTTGTAACAAAATCAGTTTTCTGTAACATCACAAAAAATTCGCATAACTGAAATTCAAATATTAATTTTCTAAAGAACACCCAATTAAAAACACAATTTAAATTAGGTTACTAAACTTAATTAAGGGTAAATCATGATGGGTGCGAAAAATAATAACTAAATTATTGCTTACCTTGAACTTTGCAGGTCCGCTACTACATGCAGGATAAATTCGGACATGATTCACAAAAACAACTCTCTTAAGATTAATACTAAGTCTTGGTCTTGTGGCTGTGGTTATAAACCGAGTATTAAGATTACCATCAAACATCCGACCAATATTATATGGATAGTAATGTGGGTAGGGTCCGGTGTAATACGCTGTCGAACTTGATACAGTTACCCCACCGGGTATAGTGTACACCTGACGGGAATTTGAACCCCCGGATGTAGATACCCTACAACCTTCGTTTCTAATGATGTTGCGAATTGGCTCGTGTTTGTTGTTGTCTACTCGAAGGGTTATGTATCCATTTGTCACGTGTTCAAGATATGTGGTCCCAGATGCTCCAGCTTCTCCCCCAGAAGGAGAATCACCTCCATATGTTTCAAACACGCCGCCATAGAAAGGTTCAGTCAGGTTATTTGTGTAGTAAACAGCTATACGTCCACCAGCGCCACCACCGCCGGCCTGGGATGTACCTCCAGTCACACGTAAAGCGCCCGTATGTCCGCCCGTGAAGGATTGGGTCCGAATGAGAATACTTCCACCACTTCCACCACCTCCTGCAGTTGTCTTCAGGCTCTTGGCTTCGATAAAGCCATCCACCTTTACATAAATAAAATGAAATTTAAAACTTTTAAAATGTTTTAGCGTGGCAGTGCAAGAATACACCAAGGGAATGTTACATATTGTAGGGGTCTACAACACCACCCAAAATAGATTTATGTTCCTTCCTACCTTACAAGTGTGGTGAACATCAATCTTAACCTTCCCACCACCAGTTCCGCCAAGATTACTGTCGCCTCCACTGCCAAACTCCTCGGGGCTTACGATATCACCATAAGCTAAACCTCTGCGAATTCGACAAGTTTTGTACCCAGAACACTTCGGCTGTCCCCCAGTACCACCATGTCCAGCGCCACTTGCGCGCCAGTTATTAGTAGTCACAGTCCCAGGACCTTGCATTGGTAAATGTCCGCCATTGTTCAGATTGATTATTCCACCATCATCAACTGTCAGGTTCACAGCATTTAGGTAAAAATTTTTACTTCGAAGCTCGGCACCACCTTAAATATTAAAACACTAATTATAAATAACAAGTTTGTGATAATCTGTGTTCAGTGAACTTGTTACAATCATTCTCAAACTATCCGTCCTTAGTATCCAATTATACATTGCAAATGCCAAATTACCTTCAATTAACAGTATCCGACATTCCAGAGTGAATGTCCTGTCATCTGCATTCTCACTGTAGGTCAGTATTTTTGAGTCAGCCATAATGCGAACAGTCTCATTAAACCTTATAGTCCGTCCCGGTGCATTCTGAGTAAAGCCGGTTAAATAATGATGTAATATTCCGCCATTAAGAAGAGTCAAATTCTGCACGTGAGCAAGAGTTCCAGCCAAATGTAGTGACACTTTGTTAATTTCAGTGATGTCAGCAAGCCCTAGATAACCGCCTTGGTAGACACGCGCGTGCGCTGGAAAATCGATGAACTTTCGACGTAGATCGAGTACTTGGCGATCACCAACATGAACAGTTCCCGAGCGGTCGCCGATCATGAAACTGAAGAACAATGAGGTCACACGGCTCGTGATATTTGATGACGTAATTCCAAGATGAGCGCTGCCGTAGATTTGCAACTCTTCAAAATAAAATCGATGCGAGGTATCAGCGAATATATGTTGACCAGAATTGCTCAATATCCAGGTTTTTCCAGTTTGTCGAGAGAGGTCGTCGTAATGATCGACCACCTGAGCTATAGGATGTTGCCCATCATTGTCCACCAGTAATGTACGGTGGGTTTGTACCAGGTGGTAGTAAAACGCAGTTCCTGAGCCTCCAGCCTCAACACTGCTTGCACCACCTCTCACCAGAGTTTTCGCAGTTAACGTAGAATTTTTTATGAAGTAAACACTGATGCGACCTCCACCTCCTCCCCCGCCGCCTTCAGGTCCGCCACGACCTCCAACTACAGAGAGAGATCCGGTTCCCTGGATTTCATAACAATATATATAGAGACTTCCTCCACTCCCACCTCCATCCCGACCCTTTGTGACTTCATGACCATTAGCACTAACCACGCCATCAATATGAAAGATATCTGAGACATTAAAGAACATAACACCTCCGCCATTCCCTGACTTTGATCCACCACCGCTGCTTCCGAACATCACAGCTTCGTATAAGTCATCGTAGGGTAATCCAGCCTGCACTGATCCGCTACCTTGCCCGCCCGTTCCGCCGTGCCCCGCGCCCGAGTAGAGAAAACCCCGTCCTGGATTTACAATCCCATGCAAACCACGAAGATCCATGTGTGTTCTATTATAACCAAGACCATCTGCTGACATACGCCCGCCATCATCAATTGTAATATTTTCAGCAATTATTGCAGGACGTGTGGCATGGAATAAACCTCCGCCTTCAACACTAAGTGCACGGACATGGAACGTCACTCCTGGATGGTCTACTGGAGAGGTTAAGCCCTGAATAACCCCGTTATCTTCTATCCTGACTGTATCAAACTTGTATGTACTGTTGCTCTGATTGGTAGTCCGACCTCCATGGTACATCCAAAAAGCACCACCGTGGTGTAGTGTCATGTTCTGCACATGTGCAAGAACTCCAGACAAATACAACGTTACACCATGTACTTCAGTATACGGAGCAAGGCCTAGGTATCCTCCGAGATAGACATGTACACTGAAGGGGAGATCTATCTCATCTCGACGTAAGTCCATTACTTGGTTTAAGCCAATATGAATAACCCCACTACGATCACCGATCATATGTTTAAAAAACAACGACGCAGGCTTACCAACTGGATCAGTATATATAGCAAGATGACCACCTCCATATATTTGAAGCTCTTCGAAATGAAAATCTTGTCCTCGGTTTGCAAAATGATGTTTTCCCGATTCAGGTAAAATCCATGCTTTGCAGCCATCTTTTCGTAGATCATTGTAATCTGCGATTGCAGACACTAGAGGTTTTTGACCACCATTATGGATTAGTAGTGTGCGATGTTCTTCGATCATATGATACAAAAACACAGTTCCAGGACCTCCTGCCTCAGCTTCACAGAGATGTTCTTTTCCTACTTGACAGCCACGTGCTGCCCCACCACGTGCTTCGTACACAAAGTACGTTGATGTTTCATTTCCCTGGAAATATATTGCAATTCTGCCACCTGCCCCTCCCCCTGCTGGTCGATATCCATCCTTCATGTACCCATCTCCTCCGTTGGTAGATATCTTTCCATACCCAAGGATTCTTTTACAGTACACCCAAATACTCCCACCACTGCCTCCACCACTGCCAGTACCCGGTCCAGCTTCGCCATTTGCCGTCACTATTCCATCGATATTGATTGTATTTGTAACGTTCATCCAGATTACACCTCCTCCACTTCCTCCTCGCTGGGTGCTTTCCCTTCGTCCTCCAGCGCTACCAAACATATCTGGCTCATACAAGTCATCATATGGGGCGCCTGTGATTTCTGCTCCGTTCTTCAACTTACCACGTCCTCCACGTCCACCATGTCCTGCACCAGATCCTCCATATTGTGAACTTAATCCAGCCCCTGGATTTATCAAGCCATGCAACCCTTTGCCAGTAAAACCATGTGATGTATTATAACCAAGATTGTCTGCAACAAGTTTACCCCCGTCATCTATTGTGAGATTTGTTGTGGTAAAAGTTAACCTTGTTCCACGCATCAACCCCCCACCTTCAATCTCCATAGACTGAGTAACGAATGTAATCCCAGGGTCTTTGACAGGGGAAGTTACTGCATGAACAATAGCAGTGTCTTGAATACGGACAGAATCAAACTGATATTGATGTATACTCATGTTTTTAGTCCGACCTCCGTGCAAAAGCCAGAACTGTGCGCCATGATGTAGTGTGATATTACGAACATGTGATAATGTACCACGTAGTATAATCTCAATTCCGTGTACAAAAGTTCTCGGAGCTAATCCAAGATGGCCGTCCTTGTATACATAAACACTAAACGGTAAATCAATTTCCTCTCTCTGTAAATCCAAGTCTTGCCCAGCACCCACGTGAACCATTCCTGAACGGTCTCCAATCATGTCACGAAAGTAAATGGAAATGTTGGTTCTGTTTGATGGCCAAAACGCGAAATGAGCTTTACCATAAATTTGCAGTTCTTCGAAATGGAACTTACTTTCTGAATCCGCGAACTTATGAATTCCCGAGTTAGGCATTATCCAGGCTTTTCCTCCTTCGCGGTCAAGTTGAGTATAGGTCATGTGCTTGTTTAAAGCTGATTGTCCATTGTTACTGATCAAGAGTGTACGGTGTTCATGGTATAAGTGATAGAGAAACACAGTTCCCGCCCCTCCTGCCTCGGAATTTGATCCACCCACTCCACCGTGTGCGCGGTAAGAGAAATATGAGAAAGTTTCATTCTTCTGAAAGTATACGGCAATCCTACCACCGGATCCTCCGCCCCCAAGACTTGAACCCGGTCCGCCATTTGCCCGGATTGTACCATATCCCTTAATGATGTTAGTGTATATCCATAAACTTCCTCCACCACCACCACCATTGTGAGACGTGCCTGCCTGTCCATCAGCACTCAGGTCTCCGTCAATTTCAAGAAGGTTTGATACGTCGAGGAAGAGACGACCTCCGCCGCGACCTGAGAAGATAAAGTGTTTATGGATTCAACAATTCAGTCCTAAACAAAATCGACTACAGTTAATATAGTCGACTACAGTTAATAAGCGCATTTGATCATATTTACATGCTAATTTGCGCTATATAAGTTTTAATTATTATTATTATTATTGTATGTAGTGTAGCTGAAACAAACAATTAACAGGAGATATTGACATTATCTTGAAAAACATTAAAACAATTCAGAGTTTTCGGCGGAGGCCTTTCTTAAAGCGTTTTAGCAGAGACCTAAGCAGAGACCCTTTTGCTATTGAAAAGCGTACCTATGTAGACTGAAGACTTATGTCGGACAGACACCACCAACAGTAAGAATTTGACGACTTTACCTTCCTGTCCTGTGACACCACCACCACTACTTCCGAAATCTGTTGGTTCATATAAATTCCCATATGGCAATCCAACATACTTTGTAGCCGAGCCTCTGCCACCTGTACCTCCATGACCACCCCCGGAAGATCCAGTTCCAGAACCAACCCCTCGTCCGAAATTTATAACACCATTAACACCTTGACCAGTGCCATCGCCAAGTTTATAGCCTTCTCCTGCCAAAGACAATTCCCCGCCGGCGTCAATAGTCAGGTCAGTAGCTTCAATATGTAAATCACTTCCCACCATTTTCCCGCCACCTTCGATAGTTAATGACGTCACACTGAGATTCATACCGCCGTGAGACACAGGGGAAGAATGCATGTGAATCATACCTTCTGCTTGGATACGTATATTTCTGAATCTACAATAAAGACAGAGACGTATTTCTTATTTTCTAATCAAGTACGTAAAACAGTCTAAACATCTTAGCTGAAACCAGTGGTGCCTAAATTACTTTGAATTTGTACTCGAGTAAAAGTAGAAGTAATTAACAATAAAACAACTTGAGTAAGAGTAAAAAGTACTGGAGGCAAAACGTGCTTAAGTAAAAAGTACAGAGTATCCTTAATTAAAAAATACTTGAAGTACAAAGTAAAAGTAAAAGTACTATTGTGTGTAGCGTGTAGGGAGGGGGGGGGGCTTCTCCATTGATGGATTGAGATACAAAAAAAACACAAAACAGCACACGCATTATAAATATACAATATTTCACGGCATTGTCTACTTTCCAGACCCCGTTGAAGAAATAAGAAATCCATTAAATAAATAATGCTTATAAGTAAGCCACAAGCGAGAGATCCCAAACGCATGTATAGGTCCTATTACCTATCCCAAAATTAAAATAAATCAGGAATAAATTACGTAAAATTAAACGTTTATAGAAAGTAACGAATACTCCGCCACAAAACTTCTTAAAACGACTTCGTTCCAAGTAAAAGTACTCCATGCTGACTTCTCAAAACTAGTACTCAAGTACAGTAACGAAGTACATTTACTTCGTTACTTGACACCACTAGCTGAAACCACATTTTGATTCAAAATTGGGAAAATTCTTTGATTAAAAACCTAGCATTCGACGTATCAAAAAATGGACCTCGATTATGAGGCCAGTCTTCGGAAGTTACAAGGATCTTCAAAATATCGTATTTTTAATCATTTGCATGTATTTCAGGCCTATAAACTTTGGCAGCGTGATCGTCGGCTACGTATATATAGAGTATCCCTACAACAGAGAGAAGAATAAGAAAATACAAACAATGTGAGATCTTACTTAAAAGCATCTTTGATATGAGTATTCCCAGTCTTCGCTCCTTCATTCAAATATAACACTCCACTATGATGTAATAATAGATCATCAATATTTTCTATAACACCATCAACATGTATATTCACTCCATGTACTTCAGTGTAGGGTGCTAATCCTAGGTAACCTGCATCGTACACATGAACACTAAATGGCAAGTCAATATTTGTTCTATTTAGATCCATCTTTTGGTCTCGGCCGATATGAACTGTTCCCGAGCGGTCTCCGATCATGTGTCGAAAATGTAAACTTGGGCTTCCACCGGAATTTTCATGAATAGCTAGATGCACTCCGCCATAAATTTGCAATTCTTCAAAATGGTAATTCAAATCTTTTGCAAATTCATGTATTTTACCTTCTGTTAACAACCAAGCAGTTCCAGGAATAAGAGACAGATCAGAATAACTGGAAATGGCTTCGTCACGTGGTTTTACAGGCGAACGTAGGTGGTTACTTACAATCAACGTGCGATGACGATAAATACGATGGTAAAGAAATATAGTTCCAGCACCACCTGCAGTACCACCATGTGTACCACTGTTGCCACCATATGCCTCGAATGTCCCGCTGTAGGTACGATTACTTTTGAAGTACACTGCCAGTCTACCTCCAGCTCCACCACCTCCATCATATGTACCAACATTTGAATACTGATGACCATCACCTCCATTAACCTGCATTTTACCATAACCTAGCGTAACAATAACAAAGCAAGAAGTTAGACAAGTACTAGTTAAAACATTCGCATCCGATCTTTATCTGATATACAAACTCTCGCCGAATAATGTGCTTAAAAAACGACCCATCTTATGAGTTCATTGGAGCATTCAAGTAATTTTAGAAATAAACATTGTTATATTAAAGCCGAGAAAATCAAAGCTGAAGTTTATGTAAAGCAGGACAAAATAATCTTCATCCGATTTACAAACATTGATTAAACATTCATTTCTTTTGTAATTTCCTTATGAATTATTAATGAGTTTTTTAATAGTATTTATGAACTCAAGCAGTATAAATAAATCACATTAATTTTTTATACAATGGAGAAAACTAAATTGAAGCGGTTGCCAAGACATTGTCTAAATTGAATTATTACCTGGTTTGCTCAGCCAATGTCATGAAAGGATTATCTCATATATAATTGTATTATTTCAGGAAAAACACCACCTTTATTTACTTGTTAAAGCTTTCGAACAACAAGCCTGAATCGACGATTAAAATTATTGTCATGCATGTAAACGCACACGAGACATCTTACTGTTCTTATTGCAACCATGCCTATTTTACATGATTAAGTAGATCTGTCCTAACCTTGCATTATATTCGTTTCTATCCACAAACTTCCCCCACTACCACCACCTGATGCACTAACTTTGCCTGAAGATCCACTGCATGTGACGGCGCCGTCCACTTTAAATTTATTTAAAACATTTATTTTTATAATTCCGCCGCCCAAACCAGGTCCGTTTATACTGCCACCACGACAGCCAAAATCCGTGGGCTCATACAGGTTCCCATATGGTGTACCAACACGGTTTTGATTCGTTCCCAAACCTCCAGTCCCACCATGGCCAGCACCAGATGAACCAAAAGAATGTGACAAGCCATTGCCATGAGAACAACTAAATTAAAAAAGCCCACGTTAATTAAAATGTTTTATCTTAACATGATTTTATATGATAGAAAGGGTACGGCAGTAGCCCGTTTCGAAACAATATGCACTGGCTATTGGGTTAAGACATTTAATTAACAGTAAAATGTTAAAAAATTCATATACATGCAGTCTATCTATTTCAATCTAAATCACTTTTACTTACCTATTATCATACGTATCGCCTTGAACAATTCCAAGATCATCTACAGTAAAATTTCCCGCTTCAATAACCATGTTTGTCATGTGTAGCCGTCCGCCGCCCTGAACATTGCCTTCGTCCATAACCAGAATAAGACTCGTGTTTTTGACGTCACTAGTTGACGTCATCTCGCCGCCATCGGCGATTATCAAACTGCGAAATTGAAATGTACCCATCTTGTTTGCCAGTCTTGTGGTACCAGTACGTGACAGAAGCAGATGACAGTTGTGGGCTAATGTCACGTCAATCATATTTATTGTGCCCCTAAGAAAGAATGAGCAAACGAAAATACATCATACCCTTATGTTTCGATATAATTATGACATTTTTTAATTCTCCCTAACACTGTTACGAATTATGTGAACAATTGAATTGAATAATGAAAACAATAACTGATCGACATAAACGGCGCATGTCCTATTGATAAACAACGTATATTATACCAATTATACTTAATCAGTAGTAGCTCGACCAAACATTGTAAAATTTAATGAACGTGATTGATGCTTGTGACTTCCAGGCAAAGATCTATTTTAATTTGAACTCAAAATTAGTGCGAGCGTTTTTTCGTTCCATTTACAGAAAGAAATGGAATACAGTCTGTGATAAATAGTTGCCGTATATAATTGAAAGAGTTTTTGCTGGACAAGAACTGAGCTAGCTAAGAAAAAATGTTCAACCCACCTGTTAGTAATCTGAATTTCACGGCAAAGGAATGACTTTGGGAGATGTAGTATACCGTCCTCATATACATATGTATTTATTTCAAACTCTCCGTCATCAGCAAACTGACCAATCACAGTTTGTTGTGGACCAACGTGCAATATACCAGTAGTGTCACCGACAAACTTATGTACTCTCGCCGCTCTGATGAAACATAAATAATTAACAAAAAGCATTTGAACAGAGTAAACAAAATGAACGGTAGCCGGGTAGTCTAGGCTATATACCATTCGCAGACCTACTGCATTACACACACATAATCTCAACAATCACTTAATTGTTTTGAAAATAGACAGAAACTCAAAACCTTATTAAGAATAAAGTTCAATAATATTTCAGCGGCATGGAAGTCGGACAATATTTCACATTATCCTTTTCGTAGAGAAATCAATAACTTACTTATAAGGCAAAAAAAAAAATATGTGGGTTTCCGGTTTCTTCTTATAAAAACTTAGGTAGGGTAGGTCGGTTTTAACTTTTTTTTAAAATTTTTTTCTTAATTTTCCGAATAAGCGGACGCCATTTTGTTTAGTCAGTGCTTCCACATCCAAAGATAAATTTCCCTAATATTTCCTCAAATTTCAATTTTCCACAAACTTTTTCCTCTAAGTGGAAACACTTACAAGCATGATCCAATAAAAAAGTTTAGGGTCGGGATTTCGACGTCCAAAAGCTAGGTAGGGTCGGGAAACCGGAAACCCACATATTTTTTTTTGGCCTAAACCTTATTGTCCCATAAATATGGCGCGTATCGTGTTCTGATTGGTCGCCCAGCCGATGCCATGCATTACTTTCCACTTCCTGTTTTCACTATTTTTTATGTCCACTGCTCGAAAATTGATGTCCACTGCTTGACAATTGATGTCCACCTCTCAAAAACTGGTTGAAAATCACCTCAGCAGTAAACAACAACTCGAGCAAGAATTAAATGCACAAAAGACCGGCGAGACGGAAGAACCGGCTGAAATAAAAACAACTAAGAAATTTGTTGTTGATCCAGCGTTGAAGTTAGGATTTATAAAGCGTTTGCACATGACGTCACAGCCGCCATGTTGGTGTTCCGATTCAAAAGAATTTTAATTAAATTCTTTTGTCTGGAACACCAACATGGCCGCCGTGGCTTTTGTCGAGTTGGTCCCTGGGGAATGAGTGCAAACGCTATATTGTAGAAAGTAGCTTAAGAGGAGGGAGGTTTCTCATCGGATTAGTTTAATGTAAGTTAGTTTTTCTTTGATGCCATGCTAAACCGTTTACAGATGTTTGTTTACCGATGTTTTGGTATTTACATACGTTCAATTTTACATAAGTTAATTAAACGTTTTCATGGGACAAAAATTTGATTTGTCGGTGAACACTCAATTAATATCGAATGGAAAATCGATGTCCATTGCCATTGCCACTGGACATCGATTTTCCATTGGATATCAATTGCGTTTTCAGACAGAAGGTTTCTTCTCACACAATTTTCAGGTAAAATAAGGACAAAATTAAAAATCGCCCAAAACTGTCCAAAATGAAAACTTTAATTATTTTGTTTTTGCTTGGATTTTCTCGCGACAGTGGACGTCGAACAAACATGCACCTCACGGATATAAGCACTGTCGTTATGAATAATTTTTAATAATTCGCAAGTAATTTAGTCTTTCTTCAGCCAATTGCGAGAGACTTTTTAAACAATAAATCTACCTTCTACTTCTAGCTCAAGCAAAATAACAAAAATCTTACTGCTTAACACCCGGATAAATCGCTAACTCTCCCCCGCGCAAAATATGAACTTCCTCGAATTCCATATCAGTTTCATTTGAATGAAGCCAAGTCCGTCCGCTATCAACTCTCCAGTTTGAATAGTCAATTTCAGGCGTCGATGGTGGTCGATTGTTACTGTCGATAATGAGGGTTCGGTTGAAGACCCCAGGTTGCTTATCCTACGAAAAGTACAGAAGGAAAGATCAAATACATGTAACTTATATTACGGAATTTAGACATGCAAATGTTTTTATGCGACATGCAAATATATGTTTCGGGTATTCAACGGCAATGCAGTTAATTAGAGTTGGAACACTGCAATAATACTACGGAGTGTGATGCAGGATTAACATACCAGCTGGACACCCAATATCATAATTGCTAGACTTTTTGAGAATACTTAATAGTCTCAAACTCCTCACTGAAATTGAAAATGCACTGCCAATGTCAATGTGATGGAAACGATATTTATATAAATTGACTGGCTCTTTTAAAATGTATATCCACGATTCCACGTCTCGTTCAACAAGTGTCATGTTAGCTATCCTGAACAAAACTTGTTGTAATCATGTAAATATAGAAAACCTACGACGTACAAATAAAATTAGGAAGTTTGTTTATCGATTTCGCTGTAGCACTCTTCAGCAATCCGCCATTTTGTTTTTATTCAGTACTTCATGTAAAAATATAGTGTATTGGTGTAGGATATCAACTGGAGCTCACATTTCGATATGAGTTGAACGCCGCTTGACTACATCATACGTCGCAGTAACAACTAAACAACCTTCAAATATCCATAAGTAACTTATTACAGTCAAAACCTTTCCTGTTTGATTTAACTCATCCCATCAAGACTTACCCTGGATTCCAGAGCCTTCGACAGTAAATAATAAATTGAAATGTCGCGAAGGCTCTGGTTCAATGGGGCGATCCTTTGATTAAACCGCGCCAATCACAAAACAGAATTAGTGGTGTACTAAAACCACTAATTCTGTTTTGTGATTGGCGCGGTTTAATCAAAGGATCGCCCCGTTGAACCAGAGCCTTCGCGACATTTCAATTTATTATTTACTGTCGAAGGCTCTGGAATCCAGGGTAATCAAGACTGGGACTTCAAGGCAATATTGTTGCTTTGTATCTTTGGTTAAATTGCATCAGTAGCAAAAATAGTATGTACAGTGTATACTAATCAGTAATCACCAAAGCCACTGCAGCAAAACGTTATTTTCCATACGAGTTACAAAATTAAAAACATCGGTTCAAACCCCTAAGTAGCCAAATTTCACAAAAACCTATGTTCTTTTCGAACGGGGCTTCTGCACTATTACGGTGAATGTGCAACAACTGCTTATCCTAACTTGATCAGAAAGAATCAGTTCCCTCATCAGGGCATAAAACAATCAAATGACCATACCTGTAGATATATGGTTCCAGCTCCCCCATTTCCGGATGAAGAACCACCAAATGCCTGGAGTTGACCAAACCACCATTCTCTATCATGCCAGTATATAGCCAGTCTACCACCAGATCCGCCACCATTAGCGCCATCACCACCCTTCACTGTTATCTGGCCAGAACCTTCAAGTGCTTTAGTGGTAATTAAAATACTACCACCACTGCCCCCACCATTGTTTGATGACGTCATTCCATTAGCAGTGATGATACCTAAACGCCAAAAACCTGCTGTTGTGATTGATCTTAAGCTTATTAAAAGACAACTGTGCGGTTGATTATTTTCTGATACAGGACTTCTGATACAGGACTTCGGTGGCCAAGTGGTTAGCGCACTTGCCTTTCACCTCTGAGGCTGCAGGTTCGAGTCTCACTAAGTACCTTCTCATTGCGACTCGAACCCAGTCCCCATGCGAAAAGAGTAAAAGTCAACACTCTGCCGAAAGCCGTGGGTTTTCCCCGGGTACGCCGGTTTCCTCCCACAGGGAAAGTTGACAGGGTGGGTTAGGTATAAAAGGGCCCACAGTAATTGGCATATGCTGTTGTGGTGACCCTGCCCTAGTTGGCAAAGCTAAATAAATAAAAAATAAATAAAATTATCAACTGGACTAGGAAAACATCCTGTATTCATGGATATTTTGAAAGAAAAAGGTTGTACTATTCTCAACAGGGGTTGTAGTTGTCGTATAATTTTCAGATTGTTTCTGCCAATTCCAGCCTGTCCAACTCCCTAATTCAATCCTGCCTTTTACGTCTTTGAACAGACTTGGTAACTTTGTCGTTTGAAGTACTAGTGGATAATGCAACATACCATCTACAATAAGTGATACTCTAATTTCTAGTTCCAAAAATCCACCACCTTTCCCCCCTTGACTTCCACCACCACCACTACCGAAATGCGTGGGGTAAAGTATAGATCCATAGGGACTTCCTGGCGTTCCTCCACTTGATACCAGTCCACCATGGCCACCATAGCCAGCACCGGATCCGGTTGAATCTCCAGCACCGATACCCTGACCTAGAAAATGAAGCCAAAGTAATTTATTTAAAAATTAACTTGAGAAAGTTTTCAATACAGTAATGGCTCTCATCAATTTGTAAAGGCCAAAATATTCAGAGAAAGAATGTTACGTTACACACTACAGGTAATGCTCTCTCTCAGCCTTTAATGTGTTTCTCCTTCATCTTTTGTATCAATTATGCCCGGATTAAATTGCAAACATTCAAAACACTCTGCTAATATAGAAAGAAAACAATCCAGGGTTTCCTATCTTCAGAAATGAAAGCAAGACTATTTTCTTGATTTTCTTTTTAAAAGCAAAACTTTTTTCGCTCGGAGACTCCAAAAAATAAACAAACATCTTCGCTAAATTCCATTTCTCAGGGAATGTAATCCCACTTCCAAATAGGAATTTTGCAAAAAAAGTAAAAATAGCAAAAACGATTGTAACTATATCTAAAGCAGCTTTGCTCACATTACCTGCAACATAACCCTGTCCATTTAAGTTAATCAGTCCCGCGTATTGTATGTCAAGAGACTCAGCATTAATTCGTAATCTCCTAGTTTCCAGGATCCCACCACCTTCCACCGACAGTTTTCCATCGCGCCTCAGTGGGCCCATGTCTGCGAACAGATTAATATCCCAGCAGTCTGTCGTGTTACCGTATTCACTTTCCAAAACGAGTCTTCCCTTTTTCTGAATTGTGATACCGACAAATGTTAATGACCTTGGGGCTATTTCTTTGAATGTCAACGTAGCGCCGAAGCCAACCATAAGATGCGCTAGGTTACCAACAACCTGGCCCCAAATATCAATATACGATGGTCTTTTTGATGATGGACTGACTTCCCTGAATTCAACTGTAGCATTTGGAAGTATGAAGAATGCTCCCTGGTATATAAGAGGACCCCACGTGACATTGGTACGACGATATGTAGAATCAGCGGTAAGTCGCAGTGTGTTGCCAGGAGCAACGTGTATGTACCCTGTGTCATCACCTTGAACGAGCTTTGTTGTCAGTTGTGTTCTTTCACCGTCAACATAAAGATGCGCCGTGCCGTAGATTTCAACAAATGTAAAGTCAAATATAAAATTGTCTGTTTCTGGAAGGAGATAGGCAACAGCTCCTACACAATAGAGAAATGAAGTGATTTTAAATTTGGGTTCCCATGTCTTAAAGCACTGTAGAATATAGTACTGGATATAACACAGTATAATAACATGAGAAAGCGTGTTTCAGCGTCAGGATATCCACACGTGCATTGAGAAGTGACAAACACACTTTCGAGCGATTGATATTACCTCCCAAATTAACTGATATCGAGCGGGCAACGCTTAATTGAGGCAATTTCCACTTACGATTTCCAATTACAAACTTGAGATGGTATAGAGAAAGAACACAAGCAGTAGCCTAATGCATTATCTTTTACCTCTTATCAGATCCCTTTCCTCTCACCACATGCGAATTTTGTCTTACTTAATCAAGCTTGTTACGGTGATTCACAGGTATACATGTTTGGCCAGTCACTAATAAAATACCATACAAATAAAATAATTACCTGAAGATTTAAACTTTTCAAAATCTGAACCTTGGTAGACCTGCAAATAAAACAAACACATTGATATCGTCAGAAGGAATTCTAACTAATAAGTTAACTGCAGTACCAAGCTAGGACTACACACTGAGATTTGAGTGTCACTTAAATGAATGACAGTTGAAAATACGAAATAAACGAAATTGGATGCATCACAAAATTAACGGAACATAAAATCTGGCCATACAAACTTTCAGATGTTAATGTTAATCGGAAAGGAACTGAGACTATGTATCATAATTGCAGCCAGGTTTTTTTAATAGGAAACACCTTGCGTTTATCTTGCGCTTTTCTATGGCAACTAAAGCCAACTTGCCCGCCTAACTAGAATCTCGCTTTGCAAGTGGACTGGATGTTTTTCCTTTGTTGAGGGAAGTCAGTTTAATCGGGCTTGTTCGCTCTCCTATAAACATTTAAACAGGAATTCTAACTAATAAGTTATAACTGCACTACTAAGATACATTTATACACTGAGATTTTAGAGTCACTTGAATGATCATAGTTGAAAAATACGAGATAAACGACATCGGACGTATCATAAAATGGAAAATACAATCTTGCCAATATCTAAACAAACTTTCAGACTTTAACTCAGAATGAACCTGAGGCTATGTATAACAATTGCAGCCATTGCCTACTCAGAGTTCTTACCGCAAATATGATGTTTTTAGGAATCACCTTGCGTTTATCTTGCGCCTTTCTATGGGAACCAAAACTTACTAGCCTAACAAGAATCTCGCTTCGCATTTTCAAAGTTTACTGGACTGGATGTTTTTTCTTTGCTGAGTCATTTGACCGAGCTTAATTGTTCGCTCTAATATAAATACCACATTAATCACTAATCTAATACTATATTTTGTTAGTGACTAAATTCAGTCTTAAAGGACTTAAAGAAAAGAATATTAAACATTATATTATATTTTATAATATAGCATTTGTAAATTCTGAACGCTGATTGGCTAAGAGCCGTGTTGATATAACTCAATAGCGAGCTTAAGCATGTAGGACGGCAACACGATGACGACGGCCAAAACAAATTCCTTCAAATAAATGATAGTAAACATAACTTGTCGTATATTATAATTCGTATGAGTTTAATACAGTATAAGAAGTTGAAAACATTGGCTTTATGTTTGGAAAGAGTTCTACTGAACGGAATTTAAGTTGCACTTGGCACGTCTTGAAATGCAGGCGTTGTACAAAAGACGTGAAAATCTGTGATTTGCCGTTGTAAACAGAGCCACGACCACGTCTGAATCTCCCCTGGGACTTTAATTATTTATTCACTTTTCATTGACTCATTGTATTGGTTGTCGTCGTCGTCGTGTTGCCGTCCTACATGCTTAAGCTCCCTAATGTCAACACGGAAACGTCGGAAAATTTCTTTCTTTATATTTCTTTGTGCTATATTATAAAACAAATATAAAACATTTTTTCCGTATTGATATATAGTTATATCAACACTCGTGGAAATTGGAATACTCGATTTCTCGTTTTCCCAATCCACTCGTGTTGATATAACTGTATATCAAAACGGAAAATGTTTTATATTTGTTAAATATTATATACTTTACCACAGCTCCCTTTCCTTTGTTGTCAATTCTCAAATTCTTATTCAGTGGTCTCTGTCCAAACAAATAGATAACTCCTGGTCCTCCATTTTCTACCCTGGCGGTTCCTCCGTAGGCTGACGTTTGATCACTGTGGAATACTCCATGCTGGTAATTGACAGTAATTCGACCACCAGCACCACCACCTCCGTCATCAGACACCTTCCCGCCGTTTGCGTATATGAACCCCTTACCATTAAACTCAGTGCAGTTTATCCATACTGATCCACCACTTCCACCACCAGCATTCCTTCCCTATTAAAAAGGGAAGTACCATAATATGTGTATGGAATATAACGCGCAAGACTAGTAGATTTGATATAAATTATGTTAGCATATCGCTTTTGGGTTTACGATCGATTATATGTATACAGGTAATGCAAGACCAACAGATATTTTTAAACTGTTCAGTTGATATTTTTCCTCCCTTTCAAGTTGCAAAGCCAACGAATAAGAGCAACAATAAGAACAGTTGTTACCAGTGAAATATGGAATCCATGCATACTCAAATAAGCTCACCTTGCCAGGTTCTCCTGAAGATTGTACCCTTCCATCCAGGTGTACTCTTTGTTGTATCTCAAGGTGTACTTTACCACCACCTCTACCTCCCAGGTTCCCAGCATGTCCACCACCACTTCCCCAAGTGCCTCTGGTATAGATAGATCCATATGGTAATCTGTAACATGATATACCGGCGCCTTTTCCTCCCCTCCCTCCATGACTTGCTCCAGATGAACCGGAAGTTGAAGCAGACCCTGCACCAGGCCCCTGACCGCTGGCATAACCTCCCCAGTCCACTGTCAGCAAGCCATGAGTGGATATTTTTAGGCCGTCTGAAAACATGTTTACTGAACCTGCTTCGAAACGCCCATGGATATCAATGGAAGCAGTCATTCGAATTGTGGACGGTATGCTACCCAATGTTGGGTCTTCAAGCTTCTGTTGGTAGTTTAAACTCATCAGACCTCCCACGTTTACAACCAATGTGTTTCCAAGTAACGGAATACTATCACGGAATGGTTTAATGCTCCTCCATGTTCCGTTAATAACAGTCTTTGAAATATTAAATGTATCTGCTGGGAGAAATTCAAATGTTCCAGTGACGGTTAGTTTTTGCCAGTTTTCACCAATATCAAGTAGATCTGTTACAACTTTCCCCGCAACAGTAACAATGTTAGCAATAATTCGTGAGTTATTGAAACATCTTTTAATTACAACGTCAGAACTTGGTCCAAATTGCGCATGCGGGATAGGCAGATTATGTCGGCCTTCAAATATTCCGTCACGATATGACGTCATTCTTCCGTTTACATTAAAGTGGTTAAACCAGAATTCTCCAACCGGATAAAACTGGAAATTACCGGTGTTAGAGATACTAAAATCATTAATTCCATTATGGATGGATAATGGCCCAGCATGGAAAATACCTTTTATTGACAACTGGAGGACCTGCAGTTCGGAATAAACGTTCTTTTCTCCACAACTGACATTATAACTTTCCGCCATTAATTTTACAGAACTTCCTGTTTCGAGTTTAAATTCTAGTGTCTCGATATTACTGTATCCACGAATCTTTACCTCATTTGAAACCACCAAATTCCCAGAAATAATCACATTGTCGACTCGTAACTTGCCGTGGAACGCAATAATCATGCTTCCTTGCAAACCAATGCTGAATAAGTTCCATCCCTGACCAGGTGAAACTGTTCCTGCCAGAAATTGACCGTTAATGGTGACGTTATATACACGGATTATAGACACTCCGGATGTCTTCTGAGAATCAAGGGTAATAGAGCCGCCATTGTTGATAACTAAATCTCGCGTACGATTTTCGCTGAAACCACGAATGATTACCGAATTTTCAATTTCCATATTTCCTGATACTTCTAACCTATCAACTTGGAAGTCACTTGTGAATTTAATTTTCATAATCCCTTTTGGTTTGACCATTAAATGGTCCCATCCTTCCACGGTTGATGCATCACCTATCAAGAATTGTCCGTTAATTTCTACGATTGACATTCTGAGATACGATGTTCCATTTTTCTGAGAATTCAAAGTTAATGACCCTCCTACATTGACCACAACTCTACTAGTTCTTCGTTTCGCATATCCCCTGATTGATACATTATTTGTTATTTCTAAAATCCCTGAAACTTCCAAGTCGTCAACTAGGAACTCCCCGATCAAATTTATATTCATATTTCCCTGTGGCTGCACGGCAAGACGATTCCATCCTTCAACTGTCGATACTTTTCCCGCAAAGAACTGTCCGTTAATTTCCACATTTGACATTCTGAGATACGAGGTTCCAACCTTCTGAGAATTTAAAATCAACGAACCCCCTGCATTGACCAGAACTTTGTTAATTCTTTCACGTGTATAGCCACGAATTGAGACATTATTTGCTACTTCTAAATTCCCAGAAACTACTATTTCATCAGTACGAAGTTCGTCAGTCAATTCAAAAGTTAAAATTCCTTGGGATCCAACACTGATTCGATCCCAACCCTCTACAGGGATCACCCGCCCACCTAGAAACGTTCCGTTAACTTCTACATTTGATACACGAATGATCGATATCCCAGTATCCTTCTGAGAATTTAGTGTAAACATGCCACCATTTGCTATGTTTATGGTACCAGTCCGTGCTCTTGTAAGACCACTGATGTTCGCCACACTCAACACCTGCAAGTTACCCGAAATTTCTATGGTGTCTATCTGTAAGTGGTCATTAAATTGGACAACCATAGAGCCACCTTGAAGTACACGCAGTCGATTCCATCCACCGGATGGCGTTACAATTCCGGCTAAAAACTGGCCGAACACATCAATCTCCCCTGCGCCGATTTCAGAGAAATTAGAAGCAGAGCTGCTAGATTTTCCTAGAATTTTAAACATACCTCTTTCAATGACTGTAATATTGACGTTGGAAGCGCCATTTTGATCGAATAGCTTCACCACACCTGCCATGGTCAAGGTGCCAGAGACGCTCAAACTATTCACATTCATGGACATGTTAGCATTGCGTATACTGAGACTGCCATGTACAGAAACATCATTTACTTTGAAAACGTTGCTTAAAACCTTTGTATCCAGAGATCCTTGCAATCTAACCGATAATGAGTTCCAAACAGCGCTAGTTAGGGTAGGAGCTGTCATGACACCATTAATAATTACATCGTCTGATAACAACGTTAACTGAGCACTGGAATTAAACGAAGATGCGGTTCCCATTGTGAATTTCCCTCGAGCGATATTCATTACCTTTGCCTGGCCATTTTGAAGCAAGTTAACCTGATACCCCAGGCCATCCTTAATTACAAAGTTTTTGAAGTCAAGTTTATTGGGGTATGACCCGGGATGCATAATAAACGACCCACCATCTCGTCCTATCTCAACACTAGGAGTATGGCTTAAATCAAGTTTCCCATAAACATGTAATGTTCTCTGGATCGCTACGTCACTCCCCGTCTTGCTACCAAACGCCAACACACTGGAGTTGAAAGCGACCAGGCATGACGAGAGCTGCGCAGAGATACTTACGGACTGGGATGGAGCAATGAATACTTGACCACTACTGTCACTTAGGATGGCATTTATGCTCACATGCATTGAAGTGTGACTAACAATCAATACACGAGAGTTTCCACGAAGGTCGATGGTGTCGAGATGAAGTCTTTCTTTGCCCAAAATAAACCATGTTACAGCACCTAGTCATCAACAAACAGGTATAGAATTTTATTTTGGTATTGGAATCGGTATGGGCAAGAGAACACCATATTCTTGGGGAAATTAAGCTACTATTTTTAAAAGATAAAATCGTTATTCGGAGTTACCGTTGTTTTATATTTCCTGCCAACATTATAACACTACGATTTTGTTGAAATGCTCGTATATCCAAGAGCTGCACACTCAAGAGGGAAAATGGAAGTATAAGCTACTGACATCGATTGGCGTTGGGAAGAAAATACTCTTAGTTTTTCTTCTGAATACTTACCTTTCCATGCCCCTGCCCTAGTTCTTATATAGCACTGGGTACAAGTCAGCCGCTTTTAATTCGTTTGTTGAAGCTTTGGTCCTGTTATGTGTGGGTTCTTTAATATAGGTGGGTTTGAAGCACTCCCACGAGACGTCGACATGAAGGCAGTGGGAGGTCAAATAATTAAATCGAAATGAAATTCGTTTGTTTATATGCATGCCTTTCATTGGCCATACCATTAACCTGAGTATCAGGCCGTACTTTTTAGGGCACAGGCACGCCTGATCGTGGGCGAAGGGGAGAAAAGTACGGCCTGACACAAAAGTGGCATTTTGCCTGGTTGTTCAGTCCAGAATCTGGACTGAGCGCTGATTGGCCGATTAGACAAACGATTTTTAAATCTGTCATTTGATTGGCTGGTGCTAATTAGATTATACTATTGTTGTTGATATAACGATCACAACTACAATTATAGCCGGCCCACTAAACGGCTGAATTTAAATTAAAACTGCAGTAAAATTAGAAAATAATCGCAAATTAGCGAAATATATCGCAAATGTAGCTTATATTAAATCGCCATCAGATTGCACTATCGACTGACGTATAGTTATAAAGTATACTTAATATATATATATATACTTTATAATTATACGTCAACTGTTTGTTGATAAATACGGCAAGCGCCATGTAAAGCTCATTGTAGGGTAAGTCACTGAAACCTCTGCGGAGGAGAGAGCAATCGGGTGGCGATTTAATATAAGCTACATTTGCAATATATTTCGCTAATTTCTGATTATTTTTGTTAATTTTATAAGTTCATTGCAGTTTTAATTTAAATTCAGCCGTTTAGTGGGCGCCTATGCTATAATTAGATTGTTGTTGTCGTTGTGTGAAATTTAAATTTCTCCTGCGACATTTTGATTGGATACTAAATATAAACTTTGCTGTGGGCGGAAAGCGATCAGGTTAAGTTTTGTGTCAGGCTCTATTTGTAAAATAGAGCCTGATACTCAGGTTACCATACCATCAAATTCAAGACAGAGTTTCAAATAACGTTGACTATGCAGTATGCACTACTGAGGTTCAGATTTGACTTCCACTACCGCTACCTTTACTGGCATGGTACCCATCTGATTGGTTTATCGGATATATCAAACGCATCTGATTGGTTAATAGTCCATTAATGATAGCGGTAGCGGTAGTGAAAGTCAAATCTGAACCTCTCTAATAATTACTACAGTACTAATATCATGATCAGAACAAGAATTCAGTCAGGATTCATTGAATTCTTCCACACTTTCAATAACGTTTAGAGCGATGTTCATGAATACAAAATATCCTGAGAACATACCTGTCTTTTTAAACTGTTCATAACTGGACCACTCGTTAATCTTATAAAAAGTGTAAAATTAATTGCTGATGTGACCACGAAGTCACAAGGTATTAGAGACCTTACGATTTTAGGACGGCGACGCGACGACGACGGCCATAACAAACTCCTTCAAATGAATGGTAGCAAGGATAATTCTCGCATATTATCAATCGTATATGAATTTAATACAGTCGTAGAAGTTGAAGACATGAGTTTTATGTTTGGGAAGAGTTCTGCTGAACCCAGTTTGAAGTGGCACTTGTTGCGGCTTGAAATGCGAATAACTAAAATTATTCATATATTGTAATTATTCAATTATTTTCAATGATTTATTGTATTGGTAGCAGTTGCCGTCGCGTTGCCGTCCTAAATCGTAAGGTCGCTATTATGTGGCAGAAGTGGTGAGGATATATTATCAACACATTTAACCATAGACAGATACAGAATCATCTGTGCGACAATGAAAAAATCACAGGGGTTGCACCACTAATGATATACATGAAAAAATACTCGATTCTGATTGGTTAAGAAGATTGCAAATTTATCGCAATAAGGTGAAAAAAAGACCTTTCATTTTTCAGACCTTTCAAATTCAGCGCCAAGAAAGAAATACGTGCAAAGCAACTTACCAAAACACATTTTGAATAAATTTTTGACAGTTGAAGTTTTGTATTAAGTTGTTGTATTATTCAGATCAGTTAGTAAATTATTTATTGCGCATGTGTTTCATGCATGCGAGTGAATTTGCTTAATTAATTTGCTTAGGCACAATTTTTTATGTATATTATTTATAATGAGTAATATTATGGTTTCTCGTGCAATTTGGAAAACCGTACACTCGTGAGTTGTTCAAAATAGGGACGGTCAATTAGTTTGTTTGGTACTAATTTTAGTTAGTTAATTAATTAAGAATGAACAATAAATAACGTATTGAGAACGTACCCGTAAAGTATTATAATCATTATGAATATGAAGAGTTTTGACATTTTTCCCATTCTTGAAGTGAGAACGAAACACCGTCCCAGAGGCACCTGGCTCGGCACGACTTACTAGAAGAAAGACTGGGGATGATTATATATATATATATATACATATATATATATATATATATATATATATATATATATATATATATATATATATATATATATATATATATATATATATATATATATATATATATATATATATCAATAATAATCGTTGATTCAAACAAAAGTATGAACGCACTGAGTAGTTTGAAGAGTGCTCAACACCAATATTAGTAGAGCTTTATAATTGTTGTCTTTTCTACTTAAAATTAATTAAGTCGCAACTCTGAGTTTCACGTTTTCACGATCTTCAGGCGACGATGTATGTTCAACATACATCGTCGCCTGAAGATCGTGAAAACGTGAAACTCAGAGTTGCGACTTAATTAATTTTAAGTAAAAAAGACAACAATTATATATATATATATATATATATATATATACCGCGGCTGGGTCTCGAACCCGCGACCTTCGAATTACTAGAGCGACGCTCTACCTACTGAGCTACACGGTCAGACGGATTTAAGATTATATAATACACACTCTAGAACATTTTCATCTTAACATATTACAGAGTGTACATTTACACAACTAACATATATATACACACATGTTTTGTGGGCTTGTTTTCAATAATTAATGTATGTTGTTTTATAAAGATATTTCGTTATCTTGATTACGATTGTTATAAAACACAATAAGATCCTTGACTTTGTGGGTTTCCATGGTAGAAATAGACATAATATCTTTGTCTCGGTAGTCCGGTCTTCACATTGGTGCTATAATAATTTCAAACACTCATTAATAATTCATAAGCTTATTGGCAAATCATGTCACGGACCTCAAGATGTCATGTGAAGAGACTTTAAAGTTTATACCTGATAAAAGTCATCTCATTAGTATTCTTTCAATCCTAATTAGTATTCTTTATTTAAAGAATACCGATAAGACGGCATCTATTGTAGCCGTGTTTGAAGTACTATTTAAAATGCGCGTAGGAGTGTTTTATCATATCCAAAATGCTCGTGCTGCGCACTCGCATTTTAAAAATGATAAAACACTCCTACGCGTATTTTAAATAGTATACTTCATGCACAAGTGTGGATCCAAGCAGGATTACGGATTGGAAACATTTTGTACGACGAAACTACTAAAATCACTGGAAATCCTCCTCCGAGTCCAAAAACAGTCAAACCTCTGCCCTTTCAAGTTTGCCAGACAAATTAACATATGAACATTTATCGAATATGAACATTTTTCGATGGTTAAGCATCCTTCTGCATGATAGTTTTTGATGATATTTCGTTGCCTTAGACGAAGAAACGTTCATTTTATGGCAAAAATATTTAAAATATTCGACCAAAATTTGCGACTTCGCTGTGTTGCAAATAATTTTTAAATTTTCCCGCATTTTACCGCGCCTGTGCATGCGGACTGCGAGCAATTCGGGGGGGGGGGGGGGGGAGAGAAAATACGCAAAAATCCGACGTGAAGCAAAATATTCATAATCAAATATAATAAAAGTAATAATAATAATTGTACTGTTTTTTGTTGGAAGGAACACGTTTTTCCCCGCCATATTCAGTTTAAAGTTTCAGTTTAGTTTAGTTTATAACAAGAGCACAAAACAAAACAAAACAAAACAAAACAAAACAAAACAAAACAAAACAAAACAAAACAAAACAAAACAAAACAAAACAAAACAAAACAAAACAAAACAAAACAAAACAAAACAAAACAAAACAAAACAAAATAAAACAAAACGGCACAAAATGGCATCTAGAAATATTGATTTTATTTTAGGATTAAAGTAAGTTACTTTAATCCTTACTTTATATAAGTTGAATTACACACGAAATATATAAGTGAATTGGAGCCGTTACTTGGAATTACGAACTATAGACTAGTCTTGCTAAACTTTTAGTATTCTAAATTTACAGTTATGATCTTAAAAAAATTAAAAAATTAAATTGTGATGACTACGATATTGTATCTTTCTACGATCTTTGTGTTTTCAACTCGAAGCCTGATCAACTCATATGATGGGTTGTTTTCAGTCACAGCATCGTGTTAAAATAAAAGCTTAAATTAAATCATTAAATGATTAAAAGGTTCTATTTAGTAAGTATTTACAATGCCAAAAATGTTAGCAATTTACCATATTTTTATCTACGTTGATTTCCCCCACGTAACTAAAACTACATTAATTGTGTTTGGTCTAGAGCTAAGGGGCTCAGGCTCTAGGCCACAGCAGTAGGCTCTAGGCTACATCAGTAGGCTCTAGGCTACATCAACACGCTCTAGGCTACATTAACAGGATCTAGGCTACATCAACAGGGTCTATGGCCTTCATCAGATATGGACATATTTTCATTATCTTATACTATATACAGAAGCAAACCATGGCGCCAAGTGAACGCAGAGTAATCCGGCAAAGCTGTCGAGAATTTCATCCATAAGCGGGCACCTCATGAACTTCACTTACAGCGTTGATTTTCTTGATACAAACTGCGAAGAACATCACGATCAGCTCCAGAAGTTCACAAACTGTTATCACAGAAATTCCGATCCATAAACCCAATTGTCCTCCGACATCAGCCAGTAAGTTGATGGTCTATGGAAGAAATACAACGAATACTTTGGAAAGGGACAAAGACAACCAAGCATTTGAAACAAGGGAAGGAGGATGGTTATGGGGAAGAAAAAAGGAAACAAGAGAAGGAAGGAAGGACGGATGAACGAAATATAAAAAGGAATGAAAAAGGAAGAATGGAAGGAAACATCCGATGTGTCTGCAATAATATTTCCCGGTTAACACCAGTAAACTCACCCCATAAGAAAACTGTTCTTCAATTTTTTCATAATTCAGTTCGTTGAAAAACACATTCAGCTGCAACATGTTGTCACTGGAAACAAAAAAATGAACCAACTATTAAAACACTCACGTTGCACACTTGACAATTGCATGTATTAAATAACACGTAGAAAATCAGATGACAATCATGTTCAACTACCTTTCATTGTGATACTTTTTCTGTGAGATGAGATAATCCTACAAAAGAAATACGATGCGCGTCAGCCCACACACACACAAATAACCAAAGGGTATAAGTTACAGCACGATTAATTTAACATACCTTATAAGCCTTGGAGGGCCATTGTGATGAACTGATCGTCTTCTGAATGACTTCTTCCCTGGAATGACAATTGATTTTAAGGGTATGTGCTGTTAATTTCATTAATAGTGGGACTGACATTGTACTTACTTGCAAGGCTGTCTACAATCAGCAAGACATGACAACCTGTCGTTATTAAAAAGATATTTCACAGTCTTTAGACATGTACCTAAAACAGATCAAATATAACGATCTCTTAGTGGCTCATCAACCACATGCTACCATATACTGTATATATGTCATATGCCATACCTTATCACAAACATGTTTGTGATGTTACTCTGAGCGTGCATCCACACCGAGCAAGCTGAAAAGTTTGCTTGGCCACGGCGGGAAGCAAAACTTTTCAGTTTGCCCGGTGTGGATGCACACTCAGAGTAACATCACAAACATCATATTCACCTGAGTACACATAACACCAACAACACAAAAAAAGTTTCATACAATATCATATAGTTCTAAACTTTTCTCCTTTGAGGAAGGGCTATCCCTCCTTGGAGAAAACATCTTGGTGAAAAGATCTTGGAGAAAAAATCTATTGGAAAAAAGATCTTGACAACCAACTACCGTTAACTGTAGTCTGTAGTCTGTACTGGCGTTGTTCGTTTGTCGGCATCTTAAACTCCCAAATGCTAATCAGAGAACGACATATATCGCAGAAATCGAGGCGAAAGGCGCATATGCATGCATGTACTAACCAATGTGCCATCGACTCTATTCCAGTCCTTTCGATTTATTTAATTATGTTTGCTTCATTTTAAGCGACTTACTTGTTTTTGTATCAAAAACGTCGCAAGGGTCTCTATCAGAGGGAAACTCGTTTTCAGAACATTTACATCTGATTCTTTGGCTCAGACCAAGGCACGATTTGAGACAAGCCTATAGTGAAAGATGAGAAATGGCATGAAATGATACCAAAAGTAACAGCAGTTGTATCAGTTTTAAGCCGTTGAAGTCCAGCAAGGAACAACCGTTCAAAAAAAAATTCAAATTCAAAAATTTATTAACGTGGACTATATATACACTTAGCCACATACAGCAATTCATGCTAGATGGCTCTATCACTTCCAAACTGTTCTCCCTAGAGGTCCAATAAGGGTCGTACGTTACTGTTACAACAGGAAAAAACAGGAGTACACACGTAAAAATCTCACAACTTGTCAACAAGATGTGTTCGCAACAGGCTTTTAGCAAGCTTGTCAACAAGTTGTAACAATGCTGTTATTTTATCAAGTTGCTACAACCCACCGGGCACACGACATTGTTTCAACGTTGAAATTTGGTAGAAAAAAGGTTGCGACGTCGACAACCTAATATCTACGTTGCTCTGACGTTGTTTTACAAACATTGGTTCAACAG